AGTATACCCAAGGTTTTAAATTCGGATGTCGGGTTCATGTCGGATGGTTGAAATCCATGTCGGATAGCGGAAATCGGGGATATATCGGAGGACATTGACTAAATATCGGATTGTCATATCGGGTAGTGTGCATATGTATAATATCATGTCCTAAATGTAATCTAAGCATTCATAAATTCAATATAAGCATACTTTATAAATTCTATAGACTAAACATATTTATAAGTAAATAATATATGGATTTGAGTTCATAAATTCTTTCTATCGGGTTCATAAGAAACCCTTAAACATGAGAACGGGTCAAACGGGTTTGGGTATTTATCGCTAAACCCAAACCCGATAACAAAAAACAAATTTTAAAGAAAAGTACCATATCGATCGATTTTTCAAAGCTAAAAAATAGGCCGATATGGCTGATATGACCCTGATATTTCCGATTTGGCCCTGAAAACCGACATACGAGTTGAAAACGTCCATGTCGTGTCGGTCAAGCCCTCAAACCGATATGTCGCCCGACATGTCGGACATGTCGGCCGATATTTAAAACATTGAGTATACCCCCACTAAAGACAAATTTATTTGTGATTGTTATGGGAGGTAATCTTACCAAAATAAAAGTGCGAATGTATCATGAATGAATAGTAAATAACCGAATTCATTATAAATATCTGTTTGACATAAAAAATCATATGAAATCTGGAATAACATGATTAATTGCTATGAATTGCGTACCTGATTTGACATGAAATATACCTATTTGACATTAAAAAATCATATGAAACCTGATTGACTAATAAAGTGATACGAGTCGCCGTGCGAGCACCCTTTGGTCGTGGGATTACCAAAAGATGGGTTTAGAAGAAGACAACTAAAACACAAGAACAATTCAGTATGACGAAGGAAAATATCTTCTCTAGATTATGAAGAATCAATTATTACAAATCTCTCCCTCACAATCTCACTAGAATCGCAATTATTACAAATCTCTCCCTCACAATCTCACTAGAATCGAGAACAACCTCTCAATCCTCTCTAAACCCTAATACAATGATTAGAATCTCTCTTAATTACCTCTGATTGCTTAGAAACCCTAAAACAATCCTTTATATATGTGTACAAACGTGGATGGCAATCTGATAAATAACCAAGCCCAAAACCAACAGGAATTTATGTGAACAGAAACCCAACCAAACCAGGAAACCGTCGATGAGTCGACTCATGACGGAGATGAGTCGACTCATGACACATAGGTCGACTCGTAAACTGATATGTCGATCGAGCAGAAACTTTTGACAAAACGGCTGGGTTTCGTGAGTCGACTCATGACAGTCATGAGTCGACTCAACCTGATGAGTCGACTCATGTTCATGTATGAGTCGACTCACGAGCTGAAAACTAGATTCTTCGAATCTGCTGCTCATCGTCTCGTTCCACGCTTCCACCTGCGTTTTACTGTACTGTTTTACACCCTTATTCTCATGCTATCATGAGAATCATCTATCCTCAAGCTCCCATGAGGATCGCTAAACTCCTGAAGAGAAGATACACCCGTATCATAAAGTTCCTGCAATCACAAGTTTAATGTAAAAATTAGTATTCTACAATATTCACATTATCATATTACAATAATATGTTCCATCATAATGTTTCACAAACACAAAATAATATCCCTAAGAGCAGTTCCCTAAAATAAGCAAGACCAGTCTTTCACCAAAAATAAGTGAATTTAACAAGTATGTTAGAAGTGAGAATCACAAAATACTACGTGCACCCTTATTTTATTGGTATTCAACCATCTTTGTTGAGAAATGTATCAACCATCTCTTTTTGACTAACCAGAGATATGCCCATAAATAGTCTTGATTCATGCTCATTTAAAAAGAGTAGTGTTGTAAAAAGCTGCGAATAGCGGTCGCAGGCCTTCACCGCCCCGCTTAAGGGGTTTGTGGGTGGGTTAATAACAGGTAATTGCGCGATGTAGCGCTGAAAAGCGGTGAAAAAGCGGTAAATTCCGCTACAGTTTATAATAAACATCTCGAACCCGACCCGAACCCGACCCGAACCCAACCCTTACCCATTACAATAAAACCCTCTCGCCTCTGATTCCCGAACGACTGAATCTAACTTTGCCATAGCTTGTTGTGCGCAGCGAAAATTTCGACAGCATCTCGGCGTAACAAGAGAGTTAGATCGTAATAGGAATTCCTGTTTCACCAAGCAAACAAGAATCAAAAACAAAATATCTTAACAAAGTAGGATATCAGCTCTTCCTCTCATCAGTTCTAGGACTGACCCATCGAGGGAACCTAAATAAGCTATTACAAATCACACAAACAGCGAGACAAACGAATTTTACGTGGTTCAGCAAATTATCTACGTCCACGGGGCAAGGAGGGGAGAGATGTACTATTAGAGAGAATACAAATAGGGTTTACAAACACATAAATTAAACCCTCATACAAACTCTCAAATCTCTCACAAAGGTCTCTCTCAAAAGGATAGCCGCCAAATAGGGTTTTTCTCCTCTGTGGTTTTCCCTTGCACGCCGCACTATTGCACACTACAGCAACGAAGCCCTCTTTGCACAACGGCCTTTCTCTTCTGCAGTTGCACTCCTGCTACACGAAACCCTAGGCAATCAATCCTATTTATAATTGAAAGTTCCAGGCCAACAAAGAAACAAAGCTAGGCCTCATCATTGCCCGACTTCGTCACTTGGAAAAGACCCACGTGAGACTGCTCCAAGACACCTTGCGCTGCACGTGGGTGGGCCCCAGGTTCAGATTCGTTCACATAGCTGCCTCTCTGGTCTCTTCCGACTCCCGACAGACTTTGCCTCTCTCGACGTCCAGCGCCGTCAACGCCGCCGTCGGTGACGATTTCCAGCGCCGACTCCCGCACCAACAACGACGACTCACCTTTCTCTCTCTCTCACTTCCTCCGGTCAAGTCATCTCTCGTTCACTGTCTCTCTAGTCTCCGGTCAAGCCAACAACGACTTCGTCTCCGTTGGGCAACGACTTCGCCGACTTCGTCTGCAACAGAGAGAAAAAGGTAATAAATAATAATTTGATTTCTGATGATGTTATATTTCTAAGTTAGTAGTTAGTAGTTCATATAGGGGCTTTGTTAGTTTCCTTCAAGGGGACCGTGCCTTGTCTAGAATCACAGTTTTTTATGTATGCATTAAGATCTTATCAATATCCTAAAGAGCATAGTAAATGTATGAGGCATTTGTTGGAAACTTAGAACTTCATGGTTAGTCAAACAAATTGTGTTTCCATGAATTTTTGTTTTGAGTTGTTCATTTACAACTATCATTTCTCGATAGATTTGCCTGATCCTGTTGGTTACTTACAACGAAGATGTATCTGGGCTGGCTGTGTGCTTTTTTTTATAGAAAGTTAACATTTTGTAATGCTATCCTATTGAATTTTTTCACTCCAGACTATAATTTGTTTTGATTAATTTTGGTGCAGTTGATCTGTCTGCCTGATTACTCATAATTTACACATTTGCGTTTCTTTTCTATAGCTGGTTGATTTCTTCATATATACGACAAGTTTATCAATTGTAAAGGTATACTGATAATCCAAGAAATTTACTACTAATTATGTGATACATGACTTTTGAATGCTATTTTGATTAATTTTTAGATTTTTTATATGTTTTTTTCTTATTATTTAGAATATTTAAATATATTTATATTTGACTGCTATTTGACTGTGCGCTATTTGTCGCTATTTCGCCGCAATAGCCCGAAATAGCCTTAGCGGTACCTCGCCGCGCCGCGCCGCGATCCGCTATCAGCAACCTTGAAAAAGAGATGAAGATAGTATGCCAAAGTTCTCCTAAATATGAACAAAAGTTAAAAAAGAAGCATGATATGAACCAAACAAGCCAAAATAAAACAACATTTACAAGACAATTAACAATAACAATATTATTCCCCTTTGCCTGCTTGTTGCAAGTTGCAACAGTCACAGAAATTGTGTCCTCTACCTGTTAACAAATCAGACACAATAGGGTGCAGGTGCATCCTCACCCCCTCCAGATGCCTCTAGCGCTATCCATCGCGGTCAGACTTGGAATACTACTTTTCATAACTGGAGCTCCATAAAGTTGAAGGGTGAGAAACTAGATCTTATAGCATTGTACATATACATTTATTTGTGTAGTTTGCGTTTTGTGTAGTAGTCAGCTTAATATTATTACAGAATATGGTAAACAAATAAGCATTCCAAATCGAATATATACTATGAAACAATATGCAAATTTGGTACTACCAAAAGCAACAAAATCCATGAAAAATCTCACCTTACCCCGTTGCCGTCATCCTGAAAAGAATCAGGCTTTGACCCAAGCTTCATAAACTTCATTGTGGCAGAAACTGAATCACTCAAGAGTC